CTGCTGCAGCCAAGAGCAGGAGGGGAGCAGCACCAGGGCACGGCAGGGACATCACACGCTCACACTGACACGCGATCCCACGGGTGCCATGCGACAAGGGGACGGGCGGCTGGGGTGAAGTGACAGCCGGGGACGTGCAGAGCCCCGCTGGCCTCCAGGCGCAGCGTCACGTCGCATCCCGCTCCGCAGGAGTCTAACAGCTCCGCTGACGCCACGGCAGTCGCTTTCTGAACCCAAGGGCACCTCCAGGACGGCCGCGAGACAGAGGAGCGGATGCCCAGACGTGCCGGCGATGGGACACGGGGATGCAGAAGAGCACGGCCTGCCCTTGAGCTCCTCCCCACTGAAACAAACCCGAATTCGCCCCTACGAGGGCGAGACGGAAACCTCGGCGCTTCTGCGGCTCCATTCCCCTCGGCTGCTTTGGCTCCGACGTAACCCGGAGTTGAGCACGTTAATCTCTTAATCTCTTACCTCCTGCTGCTTCACTTCTTCACCTTAACCGAGTCAGCCACACGAAGGGAAGCAAACACGTCGCGGATTCCCCCACCGCGGGCTGGTGACGTAGCTGCGGGATCGCTCCAGGTGCCCCCGGTGCGGCAAGGAGCCCCGGACCCTCTTCCGAGGATGCCACTGCGTCTGCCAGCTACATCCGAGGGCTTCTCCAGGGCCAGGCCGGGCTCCGACCCCCAGGGAAGCGCATCCCGCCGTGCCAGCCACAGGCTGCTCGCAGGCACCTCGCGCTGTTGCTGCTGCGTGAGCGGAGGCGCTTTGAAAAGCTCTTCCGCAGGGCACAAAAAGGAGCCCGGGGCGGCCCCGACCTCGGGGTCGCTCCCCCTGGCTCCAATTCCTGACGCAGACCGCGTCGCCCGAACTCCAGGAGCCAAAAAAACCCCGCCGGGCTGTGCAGACAACAGAGAAAAAAGCGCTTGAATGGTTTCCCTGCGATCCCGCTTCCGAAGACGCACGAAACGCCTCGAGCCGGGCGCCCTGGCCAGCTTATCCCGAGAGAGTCGATCCCGCTCTATTCACCGCAGCCAGCCAGGCAAGGAGGAGAGCGGCCGCCGCGCTTTGTTCCTCGCCCCGGGCCGCGTCGCGCGCTCCCTGCTGATGTTATCGGCCTCAAACGCCTCGCGTGGCTCCGGGCACCTTCGGCAGCATCGCGCAGCCAGGCAGGGCTGCGGCAGCCCCGCAGCGTCACGGGGCTGCAGGGACAGCCTCGCTGCAACCTCAGCCCTCACGTTCCCGCGTGCTGGGGAACACACGTCGGCATTCGGAGCTCTTCTTCGCGCTCCGATCAGCCGGCAGCATCCGCACGGCTTCGCGCCGGTAGCTCTCCCTGGAAGCTGCTGGCAGCGAAAAGGAAAAGCAAAATAAACGCCCCGAGTCTGCGCCGGGGCTGGCTGGGAAGAGGCAG